ATAAAGCCAATATAGTATTATTAACATAACAGCCAGCTGTTTTTGTCAAATTTTCTTGTGTTGTGGGAAACAAGATTTTACATTCCTGGCCCTCAAAGCTCATACTAAAGCTCAGGATGCGTAAATAAATTAATATCAGGGTGGACCTGTGGTGCAACACAGAAAGATTAAGCTACTTTGAAGAATTATTATTTCAAACTAGTGCAAAGTGGTTGCACAATGTATCAGGTTCATTCCAAGGTCCATTTCATATTGTTTTAATCAATTTACTTCAAAGATGAATAAAACTGACTGTATAAACATCTAATAGGCAGCGCAAAGTGTGTCATTGCAGTAGCCTAAGCATTAGTGAAGACTTGGAAAACTGAGTTGGCATTAAAAGATAAACTATTTAGAGCTGGTCTAAGTTTGCTAATGAAACAAGGCAATACACAACCATTGCAGAGGCTTTTTCTAATAACATAAATTTTTGATTTTTGTCTGTTGCCTTATAAATACTTTGGTGTGATGTTATTTTAAGATCTATGAGATGTGTCTTTTTCACCTTCTTAAATTTACTCATGTTACAAAGTCTGATAACTAGACCTTTAGAACTATAAATAGATTAAAAAAAAGGTATATAAATGATAGTTTTTAGCTGCCAGAATTATTAATCTTCCCGTTTTGTTACCCAAAGATCAGCAAGTAGAGGCAGGGTTTCACAAATCACAAGTGTAACATGTCAATCATGTCTTTGCCCAAATTCAAACCAATGTCTGAAGGCTGATTGAATTACACAATTTTTAAATGATATTACAATTTACAATAACTGATTAACTGATCAGTTAATAATTGATCAGATTTACAATAACTGATCAGATTTACAATAACTGATCAGTTATTGTAAATCGTAATATCATTGTCGTAGTAATTCCGAGTAACTGAACTATGCAGAGAGTACTCACAACAACGTTTCTGTCTGCAGTAACACTCACTGGACAGGGACTCTCATCAGTTTTAGCTGAAACATAAAAAAAAGATCCACAAAACGTTAAATTATTCATGATTTAAGAATAATACTAGCCAATTGTTTCAGCAACTCACATAAAATTAGAGTAGATGGCAAAGCCGGTGGTGTATTAAGAGAACTGGTCCAAGAAATGTCAGGATTGATCTGTGCACCGAGACTTTCAGAAATGTGGTTGGCATAGGTGGCCTGTTTCGTTCAGAGGATAAAATTAAGGCAGAAAATATTTTCACTTCCATTTATCAGATCTGATTAAAATAACACGAATGTTAAAAAAAGAAAATCAGCTTCAGGTCGACTATACTTACAGGGGATTTCTCTGGGGAATCCAGAAGATCTGAAATAATACATGTAGTTATGTGCCCAATTCCTTTTTTTTTATATACAAACCATAAATATGAAGATTAAATACATTTTCAGCTTACCAAAACTCTCCTCACTCTGAGGCTGAACACCTTCACATTTTAAATTAGAGACACTAAAATAAACAAAACAGATACAATGTCAAGTTCTGTTTTATAATGACGAGAATAAGAAAACCCAGTCATTAACAGCATAAGGGAATAAATCTTAAGTTTTACTCACCAGTGTTTTGGCACCTGAAACAAACAGGGACTTTGTGTTGGCATCCACGGTAACGTTTCTTTTTCTAGAAAGAATGAAAGGGACATGTAGTTTTTAGATGTTTAACTTCATAAAAATTTAAGCTAAGATGAATAGTCTTAATTATTTAATTGTTTATCCATAAAGAATACCCTGTGCAGCTGTGAACGACGGATCATCCTCAGTGTCTGGTGACACAATTCGACCGTGTCTGAAAACTTTAGGGGTTGAAAACAGCTGGCTTTCTGTTGCCGTCTTCTCCAGAGGAGCCTTGAAATGTCCCTCTTGGTTGGCGCATAACTCATCGTTATCGGCAACACTTCCTTCTTTTAAAGAAGCTTGGGCTGTCAGTAACTCAAACCAGTTTGGGTCCAACGGTCCCAGCTCTAAATGATAAAACACAGGCCAAAACAAAAATGCATTCGTTTTGTCTCAACATATGACTTTTTGGTATGTCATAAAAAGCAAACGGCGGTGATTGTGCCACTAGAATTTACACTGAAGTATTCTTGGCACAGTGATGAAGTAGAATATTTTGGAGCTTACATTGCTACATGCCAGTGTCTCTTAGTATAGTCACATATAAAAAAAAATGCATTTATTTCGGCATAATAACTAAAAAGTTAAATATTGCATATTGTGATAGTTGAAGCATTCAATTCTGTTAGTTTTGAGTATTATGGCTTTCAGCGAAACAAAATTTGGCCAACTGTAAAGAAAAGAATGCAACAAGCCAGGCCCAACAATGCACATGAAATTAAGTTGAAGTGACCTGGGATAACCTTGATCAATACAGTAACTAATACAAAATGAGTCCTGACAGATTATTCTTTCTAGGTATGGACACACATTTTAGCATAAAAATGAACTTTTCTAACATTTTTTTTTCTATTTGAATGGCAAGAAAATCAACGGAAAGAGTTTAAAGGAACTTGCTTCAAATGATTATATACCATTTTCGTTTCAGCTTCACCTTTATGTTCAAATTAGGGCAATAAATGAACTTTTCAATGCTGCTTTTATTTGTGAAGACGCACCTCGTATTTGAACACGAACACAGGCTTAAAAATGAAGCAGTTGACAAATCTCACCTTTCCAGATTTCACCCTTAAATGCATCGTACATGTTTTTTATGCATGAATCCATTCCACAACAATCGAACAACACCTAGAGTTGGTTATACACACCACCTAGGAAGAAAAGAATACAATATTACCCAGATGTTAAATGCGGAAAAATACTGGGACACTATTTTCACCTGCTTACTGGAGGAATACGTATCTAAGGGTTCAAAGGCTTTTCAGAAAGAACATAGTCGATTATAACTAAAATAACTTGAAAACTAATAGTTAACGATATTTAAGACAAACCAATAGAGCCATATAAGAGCCGTTTCTGGCAGTAACTAGCTACGAATCTTAAAAATGTGTCCCATACAAGCTGTTACTGCTAACCATTTAAAATGAAACTATGCCATAAAAACAGAGTTGGAGTTAAGCTTACACGTTTGATTGCGAAGTACTAGAGTGTTTACGCTCATGTTGCGGGAAAACTTTAAAGTAAGTGTTGACAATAGTCCACCAAACTTAGGGATGAACAATACAACACTAACAATCAGCTTGTTTGCTAACTCTTACGGTCACGCAGCAAAACCCAAAACTCGCGCGCCGCATTCCGGAAGTCAAGTTGACTTCAGAATAAGAGACCGGAATTAAGCTGTCCGTTTATGATTTTAATTTGGACAAAAACACCAACACGAAAAAGTCAAATTTAATAGAAAATATTCAGTTTTTAAGCTTCTTGTGCTTTTTTTTTTATTGTGGAGTGCATCATTTAAGATATTGTTACAAAACGCCACTTCAGATGCAGAAGGTATTATAAATAAAACTTCTTATTATTCAAAATATCCATTAAACTGCAAATAAAAATGTTTGAAAGTTTTGATTTCAGTGCTGACACAGCTGTCTATTAAATACAATCTAAATGCTAGAACAGGGATTCTTCAAGTAGCTCTGTGCATCTTCTTTGCACCTTTCACAAAATATTAACACTGTTTTACAGCAATTATTCTGCTCTGGTTGTAAACAATTATTTACAGGAATGCTAACAAAAATATTTTTGGAATGTTTTTGTTTATTATTATTTACACTTTTCAGAATCAGTCAGTATCAAATCAGGTCAAAGCTTTGGAAACTGAAGTGAGTCAGAATTCTGATTAGTGTATCTCTGAAAACTCCTAAAATTATTGGCACATATAATGTAATAATTCAAGACCAACGAGTTAATTCCCTGGAAGTTTTGAAAACATTTATTGAACCAATTAAAGGGTGATGCATTTCTCAAGTTATGCCAGGTCTTTTTCTACTTGATACTTCTCACTCTCCACCTTTTGTTCAGTTTTCTTACTTTTCTGGGTACGTTCATAGCACTCTTCCTGGTCAGGCTCAAAACAACCTGTGGAGTCTAAAATGTGTAATGCTTTTCTTCAAAAAATGACAAGAAAAACACTGTTAACAAATTTAAGTTTTATTAAGAGCAGAGAACACAACAAAATAATATGCTGCCAAGACAGAAGTATTTACAAGGCCAGAAACTATAACAGCAATTGTGGAAGCTTTATAAATATGTAAATACCCATTTTGCGTGCAATGTAGTGTTTGCCTTCATAAAAATACAATCTAACGAGCAAAGCTCTCATTTCTCTATTTACAATTCATCATCAGTCAAAATAATTTCTACATATATATTTTCATAGTATTTGTTTTAATGTGCATACAATATGCAAGCTTGGCAGGAATAACAAAGAAAACAAAACATATTTTTCTATAAATCTAGATGATAATATATTTTTTCTCTTGCTGTGAAATATAAATAATGAACATAATTTGCAAAAAGCTACTTGGTTAAAGGTACAGTACGATATTTTTAGTAACAGATAAACCACCTGGTAGCTGCAGGTTTGACATTACAGTAGATCTGCACCATATCAGAGTACTTTAACATGAACCACTCATACAAATCGGAATCGATAATTCCATCTGTGATGGTCGTCATAATTTAATTCACGCACTCGTGCAGGATCAATACATTTAAACACACTCAAACACACACAAAGGACTCAACACAATAAAACAACACATCCCTTTGCCCTCTTCTGACAGTGTTTTCCAATACATTCTTTCAACAGACAGAAAAGGTCTTCCACTTCAGTAAAGGATTGCACATTTTCCCTTGACAATTAAAATAAAATAAAGTAAAAAAACTTCACTTTGGTATGCCGTTTGCTAAATGGAGCAGTTATTCATCTAAGCAGCATATATATATATATATATATATATATATATATATATATATATATATATATATATATATATATATATATATATATATATATATATGCCTAGTGACATTCTTTTATTTGTGCAAGAAAAGGATAATTTTGATACAACTGCTAATTGAATAACTGAAAAATATTGCTGTATGTCTAATGATCTGACTTCAAAAAATTCTGACAGAGAAGGATCAAAAGTTTGGGTCATTCTAAGCGAAAGAGCTAAGTTCTAGTGAAAATCTGATACAACAGCAGCTGCCTCAAGCAAAGTAGTAAGGTTTGGAGCGCCACCAAGCCGCCATCAGAGAGTGGAGCCTGAAACCCTGGAGTCTGGGAGAAAAGCTGTAACGGTTTTGTAGCCCTGGGCCCGTCGGATCATGTCCCGAGTCTCACAGTTGAGTTCCATCAGCTTCAGAGAAATTTCTGTCAGATCCTGCTTTGAGCCAACCAGAGCAAATGTTCCCGTCTGACCCAAAGTTTGGTGTCTGAAGTAGATGTTCAATAATGTTTGGATCTCATCCTCAGAGTGGCTGCCAAAGATGTCATTAGGCCATGTTGTTCTGCAAACAAACATCCAGATATCTCTGCAATTAGGGTAAACTAACATAAGCTACTCCCTGAATGAATATCAAACAGAGTGTTTTACTTATCACACCTGCACTCACGAATATAGAGAATTGCTTTTGAAAACTCATTGTTCTTCAAGCCCTCGAGGACGGCCTGCACAGCAGCTTCAGAGGAGCTCAGGATGGTCTCAGGGCAGGAAGTGTCAAAAGTAGAAATCTTCTCATTTGACACTGAGGCCGCTGCTGTTCTCAGGTTGCTCTTCAATTCATTTAGCTCTCTAGACATATTTGTAAGCTAAAAATTTGTGAGGGGTTAATAATAATTTTACATAAGTTAGATGTTAATGTGCATTTGAACGTTAAAAGGCAATACAATGGAAACAGACCTACCTCTGGAATCGAGCTTATTGCATGGACCTGCTCAGTCAGCTTACAATAAGACTGAAAAAGTAGCAGCAACTGAAAGTGGAGTTTGTAGAGTCTTTGGCAGAGCTCCAGTTGCTGGAAGGAAAATGGTTTTGGATCAAACACAACCTTACAGTAGATCTCGAATGATGACTTTAGAAGATAACAACTATGATGAAGTTGATATGAAAATAAATAGGATGTTAGCTCTAAGTAAACAGAGAAACAAAAGAAGCCACTACAAACTTACAGCCAGAGATTCCATTTGCTACCAAGCAAGCATGTTACAAGGCAGAAAAGTAGATAAGAAAAGAGAAAACCAAGGCCATGCAATTCAGATTTGTATTAGAAACTGAACAAAAAGTATCTGAACAGTTTAACGTGCTCTGAAAAATGAAGAATTGTGTTTTGCGAAATAATTCTCTGAACTGTTTTCCATTTTGTCATGTTACAATCACAAATTTCCATACATTTTATTGGAATTTTGTGCTAAACCAGCATAAAGTAGCACATAGTTGTGAAGAGAAAGGACAAGGTTTTGATTTTTCTTAAATGGAAACAAATTTAAGTCTAAATTTTCACTGACTTGCTTCTTTCAGCACAGCACCTCCCCCTGAAGATACCACCCTTCCTATGGATTGTGGTGGCACATTCATTAATTAGAACTGTCCAGTTAGAATCTAGACTTAAATCCAAATGAAAATCTGAATAGATTTGAACTATTTTGCATAGAAGAATGACAGTAACATTCTTCTATGCAAGTGTAAGACTGCTAGAGAAATATACTGAAGGACCTGCAGCTTTAACTCCAGCTAAAAGTCTATCTACAAAGTATTGACCTAATGGGAATGATTAAAAATGCAAACAACAGTTTTAAAACATTGAAAACATTGTAAAATTTTCCCCACAGATCTCAATTATTGCATAAACTACATGACCTATCAAATCAAAACTACAAATAAAATACAGAGATATTTGTGTTTGTAACAGGACAAACAGTTCAAGATATGTGATGACTTTTGCAAGGTTCTGTATGTGTTTTATAAGAATGAAGAAAAGGATGAAGTGAAACAAGCCAAACAAATTAACACGTTCATATTACAAGAAATCCTTTGGAAAAGTTAAGCATTAAATAGTGAAACACTCTGATTTGAATTGTTTACAGATGGATTAATGGAAGATTGATGGATTGTTTGCTGAACCATGCAGAGCAGAGCGGACAGTTATCACAATGCACGTGACAGAAAAGGTAATCAATGTGGCATGCACTGATTTGAGGCTGAAACAAACCGAGTGACATAAAGAGGTAACACTCACAGAGCTACAGTAGCACACAGTAACCGTAATGCAGAAAGTACAGTATAAAAGAGCAGATGAACAGAATCCAAGTTTTCTCAGTTATCTCTGGACAAAAATAAACTTTTTTTTTTGCGTGAGGCAAGCCAAAGGGCAATGGAAATCTGTGTAAATGTTATATATTTTTTTCAATATGATGACAGTGTCTTGAAATAAAAGTGTTTTACTTTTTCTTCATGCTCCACCGGTTGGCATGTCACTGCAACCCCAGCAGTCCTGGGAAAGGTGGCCTTACAGCTGTTCAACCACTGCAAGCAATAAAGACAAGGTGGTTGAGACTCAAATGGCACAATAACAAGAAACTGGTCAGATGAATTTAGTTAAACATAATTAATCTCCTTACTGTGAGAGCTGCCTCTTTTCTGTTGTTGTAAGTATCAAGATACTCTTGAAGCTCTAGGACGCTGAATTTCATTTTTTCCAGAAACCCATAGGACATTATCTGTAGAAAAGACATTATTATCTATTATTATTATTTTTTATTCCAATCATCTAACAGATGTACATTGTTGAAGAAAGTGTTTTGAGCTACTTACCGTGTCAGCATCAATAAACAGAGTTGGGCACTCTGAGCAAGATGCCAGGATCTCAGAAGATCTGAGAAACTTTGATCCTAATCCCCTCAAGCCATCACCAAGGTAACTCACAGCATCACACGTCAAGGAACAAAATTTAGCTTGGATACTCTGGAAACCATTAAAAACATATCGACTGTAAGAATGATGAGATATTAAATTTCTTCACTAAAAAAGAAAAAAGAAAAGTATCATTTGTGAGAGAAATATGCAATATCTGGTAAACAGATCTTGGCAGATTGCTATACAAACTATCTTTAGACTGACCTCTATTCTAGATATGGACACTTATTTTTTAACAGTTGATCATGTTGATAATTTATTACTTCAATCTGGAGACAATTTAGACTCTATTTTGATTTTTAAAAAATTATTCTGAGAAACAGACAGAAATATCCAGGTGTTCTGTTCTTTTTTGTAAACTGTTTGGATACAAAATGGAAGACAAAAGCGATCCATATGGTGAAATGATCATACCTGAAACAGCGATGAAAACACTTGAAACGTGTAGACGGCACAGGAACCATCTGAGTCCGAGACGAGCTGGCTGAGGTGACTTCGCCAGGCCTCCTCTGCGTCGTCACACGCTGTTGGCTGGAAAGCAGCAAGAATGGCAGAGAAGAAGGGCGACGGCGGTGGTGAAGAGCGGGACTCCAGCATGTCATCTTTCTCCTCTTCAGGAAGACTAAATACAAAAATGAGGCAAACTGAGTTAATCTTACTGACAAACCGAATATTTATGGCTGACTGAAGGTGGGATCGGGCACCTCGGTAAGCTGCAGTGTAGGCCCAGCTCTTCCTTGTAGACATGATATGCCACGTCCATACTCAAACCGACCCCACATTGATACTCAGAGGGCAGTTCGTTGATAGAAAGAGACAGGTCGTCCTCGTGGACATTACTGTCTTCATCCTCTTGTGACACCTCATATTGGAAAACAAAAGAGGGACATCTTCTTAGCTAACCCTGACGGTAGCTAAATTCAAAGTGTAAATTAATATTGAAGTGCATGCATACATTTATTTATTATTCCCTTTATTATACTTCATTATTAAACAGATCATATCCTATTTAAAAACAATTCACTAACCTTTCATCTGGACCCTATGGTCTCTCCTTTTGATGTTTTCTTTAATCTTGTGAATTTTGTATGCATAAATCGTGCCAATTGATGAATAAATTATTGAATATTTAAACTGCACTCATTTTTTCTTTTTTTCAGACAGGCAATGTGTAAACCTTTCCTGACCGTTCACATGCCAAGAGTTTTTAGTTGTCCCTCAGCGCCACCCCCACACAAGCACCAGGTATACACATTGCCTCAAACAGACACAAGCAAAAGAAAGATTATTTATGTTCTTTTTAACCCTTTAGACTCTCAACCAATTTCTGGCATGAATAAATAAAAGCACAAACTAGCCCACTGCCCAGAGAATAGCATATTGTTGTAGATTTTAGTTCAATATTGTTATGCATGCAAGTCTTTGATTTAAATCAGCTCATGCTCTTCTTTGAAGACAGGAAAAGACAGAAAAACCCCTCCGCACACATGCAAAATTATGTAACAGAGACCAAACCCAAAGCATATTTCAAGCTGAAGACATTACACAAAACAATTCCACAGTAGAGCAACTATTTAGCAAAATTAGTAAAGAATTCCAGAATGGAGCTGCGGTAGGAGTTAGTGTTTCCGAGGATCTCAGACACTCTGAAGCCCCTATTCACCCGCTGCTTCGAGTCCTCTGAGAGTTGGACCTCGAAACTGGGATTATTGGTGCCCAGAGGGGTTGAATTTGCCGAGGTTGTGTCGAAAGCGGCAGAGGAGGTGTCCGTGCTGCTGATCTCTGGTGTCGGAGAAAGGCTGACGGTCTGAAATGAGACAGGGACAGTGAAGTGAAATAAAAAAAGATAATATTCCACCCTCTTGATCGCTTTGCCGATGTTTGAATGGAACCCTACATAAACATAACTGCCAGCACTCTCTTACTTTACACAGCTTAATAAAACTCCATTTACTAAAGAATTTTGTCTGGCATCACATGAAGATAATTTTATATTGCACAGCCAGCATATCTTTAAATTTTAATAATTTTGAAGCTGCCACTAGACATACAATAATATAAATAACCAGTACCATAAAAATAATTATAAACAGTTTTCAAAGTATGTCAATTACAAATAATGTCTGTTACAGTCTACAGAGAGAAATTCTAACAGCCTGAATTGAACAGAGATTCAAAGATTTTTTTTTTTTTTTAATGTGAGATTTCTGTTTTTTATAGATCTAAAACAACAAAAACAAAATCATTAAAAGAAATGGTTTAAAAGTCTTTGCTTCATTAAGATTTGGAATTAGTGTTACATTAACACATAAACTTACGATCTGAGAGTGGGAGAGTATCTGGCTGGCCGCAAGCGAATCTTCCTCAGATGATTCATCCGAGTCTTCGTGGGCAATCTTACTGAGGCTGGGCATGCTGCTAGACAGCTGACTCTCCTCCAGAGGCTGCAGGTCACTTTGGTCCAAGCTGTCCATAGAGTGGCGACGCACTCCCCAGTTAAAGTTGTCCACAGTCTCGCCCTGCAACAGTAAAGCATCTTGCATTGAAAAATACCAAGATGCAGGTTGAAGCTCTTGGTTTGTTTTAACATGAATTAACCCGATGACATATGTGCAAGCATTGTGCAAAACCACTAGCTGGGGGTCACACTGTGTTACGAGCCTAGCAAAATTTTGAATGAAGTGTACTGAAGCTGCAGCTAAACCCTAGAGGAGATAATGCTGTGAAAACACTAACAGAGTGATTTTTAAGACAACATGACTTTACACGTCTTGCAAAATCCAACAATTTTCCAAATAAAGTGGTCAAATGGGAGATTTCAACCACCTTGGATGATAACCTCAGGTGATTTGTATCTTTTAATAACAAAATTATTCCACCCATTAGTGTATACATTCACACACTTTTTACAGGCAACAGGCTTGTTTCAAAATCAAACTATTTTTTCTGTATTTTTCCTGAATAACATTCATACATAGAAATGTTTTTAGAACAAAGATGAAGGAAAGTTATTTCTTTCATAAGCTTCAGAGACAGTGTGTCTAGTACTTGCTCAAGTGGGCATAATGAGTTCTGTAAATTGAAAAACATGCATAAATATTCAGTATCTCTGCCACCAGTGTGGCAGCTACACTAGCCACACTAGAAAACCTTTATTATTATTATTATTATTATTATTATTATTATTATTATTATTATTATTATTATTATTATTTATGGCACAACAAGCAAAACTGCAACAAGAGAAAACTTACCTGCAGCTCCTAGATAGCATAAATAAGACAAAAACAGAATCCTCATTACATACGTCAGGGAGTGGGGTTGTCATTGGCATCTTTATGCCTGTTCTAAAAGTTTTTAAATAAAGCCAAGATGACTGCGACTCACCTCTCCGTCTTCAAGCTCAACATCCAGGAAGTCAAAGTCTTTGAAGACTCTGAACTGCTGTTCGGAGGTGGTGTCGTCCATGTTCTCGAGCTCGCGGGTTCCCTCATCAGAGGACACCAGGCTAGGCTGGTGCTCTATCAGGTCCAGTTCTCCACAACTAGAGAAGATAACCTACGAAGAAATGCCTTCGTCATTTTTACATGCATTGGAAAAAAGTCTATTCAAAAGTGATGAAAACTTTATCACTGAAAATTACCGAAGGATTTTTAGTGAGCCCCACTTCTTGTCCACAAAGTGACAACACATGCACCAGCTTTTCTCGTGTTCTTTTCTGCAGAAGAAGAATGCTATTAACATTCAAATTTAAATAATTTTTTTCCACACTGTAGATATGTACTAAATAGGTCCATGAATTGATCTAAAACGCGTCACCACATGTTTAGAGCAATCTTCCTGTGAAATAGGCTGACTTTCTTACCTGCGAAGACTGAGGCCTCTTCCAGCTGACCGGAACCAGGACGTTGTTGGTGTTGGACCCGGAGGAGGTGGAGGAAGTGCTGCGGGTCACTGCTGTGGCCATGCTCCTCACATCGTGACCCGGGGAACGCTTCAGATCGTCGTAACGCCGACCGATCACTGGTGTCTAAAAGCAAACAAAAAGGTGCAGAAACAATTGATATTCAGTCTGGAAAAGCATAAAGGAGAAAAAGACCTCCTAGACTTTAAAAGTCCATGACTTGGGCTCCATGGAAACACCCACTTTACCTTGTCTCTAAGGGATTCCAGATAAAGTAATGTAAATAACAATATTTGGTTGTTTTTAATTAATTTTCTTTGTGTAAAAACACAGGTATGCTGAGAATTCTCGATTACAGGACTAATATGCCTAGAGTGTGGAGCGTCAGTACAACTCAGTGTATCACAAAACAGAGAGGGAAAAAAAAGCAGCAGCAAAGATGTGACATCATTTCCTGCCATTCATAAACTAACATAAATAGCTCTCTGTTCTGTTCCCACACACACATCACTAACAACACTTGGCTAACTGTACTTACAATTTTCATGACTGGCAAGGGAATTTGACAATATTAAGTATAACCAATAAGAAGGGGAAGAAATATTATCTTTTCCAAAAGCGACCAACCTAAACAAAAAAGGAAACTCAGGAAAACAGGTTTTGGAGGCTACAAGGCTAAAAACAGAAGCATGTAAACCTTTTAAGGGATCAGAGAGAGCTTTAAAATACGATAAAAAAGGAAAGAAAAGAAAGTGTGCTTCACCTCAGAGATATCAAAGTGAAAATCCAGAGTTTTCCCAGGTAAGGCTTTGGAAGAGCGGTCCCACATGCGACTGACGTCTTCATAGGAGAAGTCACTTTGTGGGAGTGAAGGCTGTACCAAACTGGCTGATCGGGAAACTACCAGCTTCAAGATGTTCAGCGCTTCCCTCCAATGGGGCGTCTACAGAAAACACACACATGCATGCAATGATCCCTATGCAAAGCATACTTAAAAATATCATCAAAGGTCTTATTTTGTGTTTTTTATGTGGTTCTATTTTTATACCAGAGGTGCTGGAGGGAATAAAATGCAGTATGAGAATAAACAGAGGCCTGGCCAGAGACAGTCTGTTTATAGTCAGGGTGTGTCTACAAATTTACTGCGCTGACACACAGGCAGCTTTTTTCCTCCTATTTTTATGAGCACTTACAGAAGGAACATGGAATACAGATCCTCTCAATCTTTCCACTATGTACAGCTCCTTGCAAAAGTATTTTTCTCTCCTCAAGCATGTTCACATTTTGTGTTTTGTTGGAATTATATGAGATGGACCAAAACACAATAGATCTTAATTGTGAAATGGAAGGAAAATTATGCATGTTTTTTTTTTTGTTTTTTTTTTCACACACACACACATGCCATAAAAATGTAAAGAGGCTTTGCGTTTCTGCTGTTTACCTGCACAAACTTTTCAATTGTCTTGAGGACCTCTATGTTGAAGGGTTTAGCTTGAATCCCACTCAGGTCCATGTGACTCAGGAGGCTGTAGATGATTTGTAAAAGTGTCTGCTGCATAGAGGGGAGACCCTTCTCCAACAGCTGCAACAACAGTTAGACAAAATTCAGCTCGTGTTGCGGTGAAACTACATGACAGTAGCTGACGGGGAAGAAAAAGTCAGCTGCACACACCTCTGCCATGTAGGTGACCAGGTTCAGGGTGATGTCTGAGAAGGTTTCATGGAGATACCGACACACCACGTTGACCCACGAGAAGCAGTCTCGTGTGTAGGTGTGTGTTTTATACAAAGTCATGACGTGAGCGAGGTTGGACAGCTTGGCATTCTTCTCCTCGAGGCAGACCTGCAGAAAACAGCACAGGATATGGAAATATACTGTAGAATTAGTGTATAATGCTGGTCAGAGGTTTGTAATACATGCATTGTTTATGTATTTTGGGCTTTTAATCATGAATTTGAGCTATTCATTCAACAGGGACAGTGATAATACAACAAAAAGACATGATTATAGGTGCACAGATATTATTTCAATGTGGATTTTACACACAGGCAAAAATAAGCATACAAGCTCAAATATATATCCGGACATACAATCTGAAATGAATGTCCCTTAGAACGTTGCAGGCAAAGCCCTTTCTTCTTGTAGCCATCAAAAATAAACAGAAAAACAAATGTATATGTGATGACTCTTCTTATTGCAGACGGTAATGCTCACTTTAAAAAGTTCATTTCTGGCAATTACTCAGTTTTTAAGCATTGTTAACACATTTCCAATAGGATGGAGATCATAGCCATTCCCAAGGCTCCATTTTATTTTAGCCTGTTATGTTTCCTTCAGACCCAGTTTTGATGTGTACTGTATTGAATTGATGACATAATGACAGAGGAGTACTACTTACATTTTCAGCTTCACTTTTAATTAGGTGCTGGATCATTGAAACTGGGAGTTCGTAAAAGGCGATCGTCCCAGACACACATCTAAGTAGTTTTGGAACGGATAAAGCAGGCTGTCATTAAAGTTTTGGAATGGCCCGAACGTTAACTTAATTTAACATTTTAAGACTGAGTTCAAACGCAGTCTGATTCAAATAAGCTTCAATAATTCTTGATAAGTAAGGAGCCGAAAAGCATCTGTCTAATGTGCAACATGCTTAAGAAATTAAACTAAATATTAGTGAAGGTGTATTTTTATATTTGAGTCCATATGCATAGTTTGATCCTGTGGTTTATAGAAGATCGACAGGACATTCAAGATGGTACATTATTGGCTTTACAATTCACTGAAGTTGTTTGTTGTATAATTATTTGTTGCTAAAAAAAAAAGGTAAAAATGCACAATTAAATGCTGAAAATAAAAATAACATCCATGCTGATGAAGAATGAATGTAAACTTCTTCTGTAAATGTGAGGAAAAACACCAACAAGCCCAAACCTGAGCTATCTTCTCAGCAACATCTTGACAAAAAGGTGATGGTGCATCAAAGTTCTGCACGAGATGTGGAAGCAAGCAGAGAACGTTCAAAGGAAAACCTGACAAAGAGAGCAAAAAAACGTCATTTCAGACTTGCTAAAAAAACAAAACATAAATATGACTTGCAAGTACTTTCAGAAATCTTAAAATTATCTACTGAGTTCTTTCTTCACCTATGGCTTGTGACGTATCCACTACAGGCACTCTGGACACAGGCGTGAGTTGACAGAAGAGTTGTTGCGTGAGGTCCGTGGTGGACGTGGACGTGAAGCCCTTTAACAGCAGCTGCTGGAGTCCAGTGAAACTGCTCCACTTCAGCTGGCTCTGGAGCTTCTCCAGCTTCTCCCGGTTCTCCTGCTTGTCCAGGGACATGTTGGTCAGCAGCTTATTCAGCAGCCTTAGCGACATCTGATACTCAAACTCAAAGTCCGACTCCATCAGTGACACTGCCACCCAGAAGACGGTGGCCAGCAGGTTGCTGGGGTGGTTTATGCTCATCGGGTCGGTGGTGTTGTCTTTCGATGAAGACGAGCTCCGCATCCTGGCTAACAGACCCTGTTGTTCGCAGGCTTGGATGCGGTCCAGTGTGGCACTGCGAGGAGGATCCAAACACCTGTCAGCTTCTCCGAATTTTTTGGGGACAGAGGAGCTCCTCTGATGCCTGCTCCGTTCTTCTCTCCTCAGGCCGAGCTGCCCTGTGCTCTTTCTGTTTGACAGCTGTTTAAAACTGGTAAGGAAATCTGGGGAGGATGCTCTGTAATTCAACAAGCAGTGCAATAAACTGAGTGGACACTTAACAGAACACCAGTTGGAAACAAATCTGCACAGAGGAAGCACAAACCTCGTAAAGAAAGCCATGAGATCATTGTTTTTCAGACACTCCGCCAAGTTATCCACCACAGATTCCAGAGTTAGTAATACCTCCATGACATAGCCCTGAGAGGAGCATACACGAATCACGAATTTTCCAGAGTCTTTTTTTTGTGTATTTTAAAGTTTAAGTTTAACATCTTACCACATACTGTTGATTCACATACTTACTTGGACTTCTTCGCCGTGCTCACCGATGACTTCCACGAGCCTCGACAGCAGGTCAGACACGGCGTGGGCAGAAATGGGCTGACGAAGAGCTCTAAACACCTGAAAGGAGCGACCGGCGTAGTGACGAGACGAGCTGCACAGAGCCGTCTGCAGCGCCACTTCGCTGAGCTGCTGCTCCAAGAAGTAATCTGATCAGGAGAGAGAGCATGAAGAGTAAATCAACTCCTGTAACTGCATGGGAAATGATTAAAACTCAATATGAACACTCCAGTTACCTGACTTGGACTCCTTAAAAACAGATACCACATGCCGCAGAAAGTTTGTCAGTTGTGCTGTGCTTTTAGAGACTTGGTTCTTTGGGGAAATGTCTTCATGACACCACAAAGGTCCATATGGTCTTAAAAAAACAAGATTTTTTTTTTTTGTTACAATAAACGTCACACATTTATAACTTCTTTTTAAAGGAAGATCTGCTGGAAGGTTAATCTTCTAAAACGTCATCATACAAAATTGTTGCCACACCAGCCAAAAGAATTCAAATTCTTTCGTAGGTAAAATTAAAAATAAAAATAATTCAACTTTAAATGGCTTTGTCTTTGTAATGGACTCAATGTTTTTATGAAATTAAAAAGTGGTCTGATTTCTTCAGATAAGGGATTTGTAAATCACATAAATTGGACATGTAAAGCACAGTCTTGAATATTTGCCAGGATACAGTTCTACAGATTTCAAGGATCAACTGTTTTCGATGTTGTTAGCCTTAAAAAAACATGCAATTTATTCTTCACAATAAGAAAAAGATTGTGTCAAGGCAAGTGGGTAGTAAAACATTGTGCATGTACAATTTTTTTTTACCTGAAGTCAACACAAAGTTATAAGTGTTTTTTTTTTAAGTGCTGTTTCTTGTGAATGTTTAATTGTTATTTCCTCTGTACCTTATAATTTTCAGACCTGAAATGTTACATTCATTTACAAATGCAAAACAAATTGCAATACAAAAGAACTACCACTAGGTGGAGACCTACATCCAGGAACATCCTGCAAGACGTCAAAGTCATTCTAGGCATTATTTTACCACACTTTTGCTGTAATACGCATTTAGTGACTAGATTACGACAAAACAATAATACATCAATATGGTTACCTTGTTATCAGAAACTCAATGAGCTTATTGCTCTTCTCATTCATTTTGCAGGAGCTCACAAACTCCTCCATCTCCTGTGTGATCTCCGGCAGGTTGCTGCTGCTGCCCCCCAGACTCAAACTGGACGATGTGGAGGAAGAGCTCAGTCCAGAGTCTGGCACCGGAGATGCCTGGCACTCCCGCAGGAAGTCACAGCCACCTAAACACATAGCAAAGGATCAAGTATTTAATAGTTTGCCCAATTTGAGCAGCGTCTACCTCAGATCACCTAACTGCACTAACAAACGCGTTGTTATGTTGCAAAAAATCTGGAGAATAAATTAAACAAAGCTCCTTTACAATATACAACCTGTCACTACGCAACGTCTAGACAATTTTCAAGAAAAATGATTAGCGGTTGAACCAATTGAGGTTTGAGCAGATGGCCCCAATTTTGACTGGAGGATAAAAATAGCAGAATGGAATGCTTTAATCAAGACCTTTGATGTCGGCGCTCAGTTTTGCTTTTGGCACTGTGTCCAAATAGTTCCTCCCCAAGATTAGAAACTTATCTATTGTCTTCGAGGAATGCAAGCCATCCCCTTCTGACTTTCAAGTTTATAATAGCCAGACAGAAAAGCCACATGACAAACGCAAGCCTGCTTTATCAAGAGGTGTGCTAATTCAGCCTTTCAGGAGAGTGCGAACAGCTCTGAAAGCTGACAAACATGACTACCTGCAGGCGAATATTCCATCTGAAGGCTGGATGTGCAAGTGAGGGTCTTGAGGACATTGGCTTCCCGCGTCTGCAGTAAAACTGATGCAACGGTCTGAAAGTTGTTGTTACAGAACAAGGCGATGAACAGGTGAAGGAGCAGACGTTTGCTGTGCTCAAAAACCTCGGGGCGATAGTGATCCATGCCTGTAGAGCAAACACAAAGATCAGATGAGCTGACTTACAGAAGGATTCAAAACAGGTGACCTTCCGCACATATCACCACATTTCAGACATAAACAACAAAGTCTTTTAATAAGACTTTATGTGGCAGACCAACACAAAGTTATGCAGGCCTCAAATGCTTGGTGTAATACATTAGTGAACAAATATAACGTATGCCCCAGGCAGTTTGGGGATGCGGTTATGGAGAAGATCAAAACAAAGTTTAAATTAATAAACTATTTACAGAGCACTGCTCAGTCAATCCTCTGCAAATTGAAAGATCAAGTCATGACTTGAAACCTTATAAGACATTGTAATCCATCCAAACCGACTGTGCAGGCAAGGGAAGTCTTTATCAGAGAAGCCAAGAGGCCTATGATAACTTTAGACAAGCTGCAGAATCCATGGATAAATGGATAAAATATAAAAGGATATGCTGGCAGTTTGGTATAAGCCATGAAGTGACACAGCAAACATATGAATGAAGATATTG